GCCGCCGCCGCTGCCGCCGCCGCGCTGGTGCCGGGGTCCGGGCCGGGGCCCGCGCCTTTCCTGGCTCCAGGGGCGGCCCCGGCGGGGGGCATCTCCTTCCATCTGCAGATCGGCCTGAGCCGCGAGCCGGTGCTCCTGTTGCAGGACTCGGCCGGCGACTACAGCCTGGCGCACGTCCGCGAGATGGCTTGCTCCATCGTGGACCAAAAGGTAAGCTCGGGGCTGGCCGCTGCGCGGGGCAGGGGGCGCTGCACTCGCCGCCCGAGGCCGCGCCAACTTTCCCGCTCCTGTGGCCGAGTGCTGCCGAGGGTCCGGGACCTCCGGGTTGACGCTCGCCCTCGCCCTGCCTCGCTCTGGTCCTGTTCCTCGCCCTCCGTCGCCCTCCCCGCTGCTTACTGCCCTCGCCCGTCCAGGTGACTGTCCATCCTGCACCGTCGCCGCTCATTTGCATCCGTTTCCTGACCTCAGACATCTTGCCCTCTTTTGTGCCGCTCTTCATCCTTGGGCTTTCCGGCCCTCTCTTTCACCCCTCTGGACCCTGGGCCAGCGCGGTCCTGGCGCCAGCATCCCCATTCCTGCAGCCGAGTTCCGCCGGGACAAGGCCAGCACCACTCCCCTCTGCGAGCAAGCTGGTTGTCCTAGTTGAGATGGATGCTGAGGAGTTCCTGGAATGACTAGGACCAGGAATTTCTCACCTGTCAATTAAGCTTTTAAAAAAGAGCGATTGACTTAGCCAGCTGTAAAAACACCAGACCGGACCACAGTTATCTTAATCTTTGCCATCTTTTAGTACCATCTCTCTGTGAGGATGAAAACAAATATTTTCCAACAATAAAACCTGAAAGTTAACAGCCTTCCTTCCTGTTTTTTGCATTCCCAGGACACTGGGAGTGCGAGAATGAAGTCATGACATGATGTCCAGGAACAGTTAGATGCTGGCTGTGCTCTTGAGTTTGAAGTTGTGGGACACTGGACAGTGTCCACCAAAGGCAGGTTGGAAAAAAGGTGTAGTGTCTTGAGAAAAGCCACTGTGGGAGGGACTCTGTCCTCTCAACACTATTGGTGCAAGTATGAATTTCAGCTTATCTCCATAGCCATCCTTAGGGATTGCAGAGACAGGGCTCACAGGAGTGCCTGGGAGAGGGTACAGTGACCCTAGTGGGCTTAGTCCAAAGGTCAGAGCTTTGGAGGTGGAGGAAGAGGAGGAAAAAGAAAAGGGGGAAGGGAAGGAGAAGAGGGAAGGAGAGGGAGAGGGGGAGGGGAGGAGGAGGAGACAGAGGTCTCTAAGGTGCTGCATTTCTGCACTGGAAGACTGCTTAGTACTCACCTTTTAATGATCACTTGCATAATCATGAACTTTTTTCCTTACACTGTTTGGAGTGGAATTTGCTAAACCTTGAGGGTTTCAAAAATGTGACACTTAGTACAGGAATATTAGGAACAGCCCCAGGGAAAAAAATCACTAATCTCAGAGTTTGTGAAAGTTCTGGAGGCCACACTGAGGTAATTAATTGAGTGCCAGGAATTTTTGTTTCTCTGATTATTTTGCATATAACTTTCAACTGTTTGCAACTTCTCTGAAAGTTGCCAGTTTTGGCGAATACTGGCACAAGTCACATCCGATTTCTCTTCATTAATATTGTGGAATGCCTATTATGGGTCAACAAGGGCAGACTCCTAGGCACTCAGTTTGAAAGCCTTACTTTAAAGATTATAACTTACAACAATTTCTGTCTGGATGCAAACTAGTTAGTTAATTTAAAACAGTACTCATTAAACACACAGTGTATAAGAAAAGTTCTCAAAAGTGGATGCAATTCTGTTAGATTTTCTTTAAATTCTAAAGAAAATGAAAGTTTTTTTGGAAAGGCCTTGTGATTTAACTCAAATAACTAGAAGCCTCAGTAATCTTCTTACAGAGATATCATGCCATACCAAGGCCATCTTGAAAGATGGACTGCCGTGTGAGGGATGGTTTAGAGTGCCAAAAATGATATGGCAGAAAGAAAGCTGGAGTTTAATCCAGAGCTAGTTAAAGCCTGAGCTAAGCTCTGGGGGAGACACCTGAAGAAATACTAGAACAAAGAAATTATCAGCCCTGGGGACTGATTTATAGGGGAAATCCTTCCCTTTTGTATTTATCCCAGTTGTTCCTCTGTCTCTAAAAGAGAAGTTGGAAAAGTTTGCCTGAGGAAGTCGGGGTACAGATCTCACTTTGATTCTTCTCAGGGTTATGCTTGAAACATTTAATGTGAATTTGAGAGTTATTTATACACAGAGTATATACCGAATAGGGGACTAGGCAGCAGATCTTTTCATTTCTTCCATCTCCCTGTCTACCTCTAATGCCAGTTTCAGCACACATTATTCCCCCAGGGAAAGCAAGATTAGGAGGACTGAATGGCCATTACAAGGTAGCTCAGGTCTCTCAGCTTGCTGAGGGTAGGAATGGCAGTGTTAGTGAAGATTTAAGGAGGGGCCAGGCAGTCTTTTGTTTCGCATTTTCTGGAAGCACCTTATGAATACAACAAGGTGAGGCTGAGGGAAGACAAGGAGAGGGAAAGGTAGATGGGGAAAGGGAGGAGAAGGGGGAGAAGGCTCAGGGGAAGAGGAAGAGGAAGGGAGAGGGATGGAAGGAGAAAAGGAGGGAGGACAAATGAGTGTTGTAAGTTTGAAACATTTTAGAATTTATCATATAGGCTGGAGAAATGTGGAACTTTACAGCAGAAAGTTTTCTTTATTTTTCTGGGTCCTCATTTGTTTTAAGACATGTCAGAGGTTTCCCATCTAATTTGTTCAAGAGCTCTCTAAATACTAACATGGATCAACCTAATTTAAGCCCTTGGCATTTTAGCTACCAGCTCTGTTGATTTCAGCAGGGATAAGTAACTGACATGTACAGAAATCAGTAAGAGATGCTGAGGAACTCATCTTTGAATTATTATGGCTCTTTAGAATTTATAGCTTTTCTTTAATTATGTAGCAGACAAGATTGTACTTGAAAATTTTTTTATGGTAATCCAACAAAAGCCATTTATTTTAGAGTAATGTGTCATAATTACTGAATTATAAAATGAAAGAATTTTTTACTTTCTAATTTAAATGAGAAAATGTAGTCTTTTTTTGTTTGTAACAATGTATAAGTAAAGATGTTTTATTCATTTGTTTAAAAGCATTGCCCCAAATTTTTATTTGTATTGTTCTTATTTTTTTTTCTTCAATAGCATGCAACATTGAAGCCTGGTTGTTTACAAAGATGCATGAATTATGTTAATTAGTGTACATCATTATTATTTTGGGAGAGTGAAAAATCTAACAACAATTGAGTTCATTTGAAATTCTGTTAATTTGTGCTGGCAAAGGAACCTTGAATATATAGACTGGGAAATCATTTAAAGCATGAAACAGATTCCAGAGAATGAATTAGTTTGCTTTTTTATTATGCTGTACACACACACACACACACACACACACACACACACACACACAAACTTTTTTCTATTAAAAATAAGCAGTATTGAAGTATTAACTTATAGTTATGTGGTGCAGTTATATGATTATTTGTTTTTTGCTTTATCTTTTTAAAAAGGCAACTAACATTTTTTCTTGATTTGCATAAATTGATTTACATAAATTACTAATAACATCTGTAAAACTTTATATTAATGCCAATAATAAAAAACAGTAAAAATGATACAGAGTTTCAAAACAGGATGATAGGAAATTAACAATGGTTATTATATTGCATATTGTTATCTTCAAAGTAGTTGCTCAGATTATGCAAAATTGATCACACAATATAAGCACTACCTGTTCCTTTCAATGAACTAATAGATATTAGTAGTACAAGCATCTTAGCTATCTTGTGTATATGCACACATCTTTTTCCCCTTCCTTCTTTTCTTTCCCTGACCCCAGTTGTTCTTTTGAACAGTTTCTTACCATTTCCCAATATATGTTATACAGTGGGTCATATTTACTCTTTCAGTTTCTAACACTAGGCAGACAACTTGATGTTAGCACGTGCAATTCTGATTTATTTCATTTATGCGTGTGGTCTCTAGTTTTATCCACTTATCTATAAAAGCTTTACTTTGAGTTTATCTTTATAACTTAGTAATATTCCATTGTATAAAAATACAGTATCAGTTTAAAGCATTTATTGACTGATGGAAATTTGGTTATTTCCAAGATCTAGTTGTACAAATTGTACTATAAACATGAGTGCACATATATCACTGTGGTATGATGTTTTCATTTCTTTTCTGGGTTTAATAGGACTTCTATCTTAGTTTTTGAGGAATCTCTACATTGATTTCCACAGTGCTTGTACCAGTCTACACACTCCCACCAATAATAGAGAAGGTTTCTTTTTTCCCCCACATTTCCTCCAGCATTTGTTATTGGTTCACATCTTGATGATGGCAATTCTTTCTGCGGTGAGATGGAATCTCAGTGTTGTTTTAATTTGCATTTTTAAAATGACCAATGATGTTGAACATTTTTTCATATATTTATTTGCCATTTGTGTTTCTTTATCCTAGAAGCATGTGTTTATCTCAGATGCCCATTTTTGGATTGGGTCTTTGAATTTTGGAGTTCTGATACTTTTACATTCTTTATATGTTCTAGATAAAAGTTCTTTGTGTGAGAAAACTTGGCTAAGATATTTTTCCCAATTCATGGGTTTTATTTTTACTCTGTTGGCTATTTCATTTGGTTTTCAAAAACTTTTAATAAGATAAGATCCCAGTTGTTGATTCTTTGAAGTATTTCCCGTACAGTTTTTATTTCATGAACTCTGCCTACCCTTATGTTGTCAAGATATTTCTACCTACTTTCTCTTCAAGTGGACTTAGTGTTTCTGTTTTAATATTTAGATCTTTGATCCATTTTGACTTAAGTTCAATGCATATTTGATAGACATGAGTCTAGGTTTAATCTTTGGCATATGGAAAGCCAGTATTTCCTTCACCAATTTTTAAAGAGGATGTCTTTCTTCCAGTGAACATGTTTGGGTCTTTGGCTCCTTTGTCAAACATAAGGCAGCTCACTGTGTTTGTAGCTGCGACTGCGTCTTTTTATCTCTTCACTGATCCTCAGGTCTGGCTTTTTTTTTTTTTTTCTGCCAGTATCATGTTGATTTTATCACAGTAGCTTTGTAATATAATTTCAAATCAGTGATTGTGATGCTTTCTGTCTTGACTTTGTTGCCCAGGATTGCTTTTGCTACTCTAGGTCTCTTTTGGTTGAAAATGAATTTTAGAAATGTTTCTCTAGACCTGTGAGGTATGTTAATGGTATTCTGATCAGAATTGCATTAAATTTATACAACAATTTTGGGAGTGTAGCCTTTTCACCATGTTGGGGCTTCCTATCCATGAGCAAGTAATATCTTTCCATTTTCTGAAATCCCCTTCAACCTCTTTATTAGCATTTGTAAAATTCTTAGTATACACTTTCACTTTACATTGTCATATATCTGGCCAAAAAAATTGAAAAGTGAGATTAAATAGAAGATGATGTAGTTAAACAAAGACAAGGTCAAAGCCTAGGTTTGAGAATAGCGCTTTTTAAATTTTATTTCCTTCACTTCCTTAATTGTTCATTGTTTCTTAACTGTTGCAGTGTCATATAAATC